AATAAACATTTTAGTGGTGTGAACGCTCGTGAACTGTCAAGAGGAGGGCGGGGGAGCCTCGCTGCGGGGAAACTGTGGACCTCTGTCAGCGCAACTTAAATGATGCCGTTTAAAAGATGAATAAATTCACGGCTCGAACCGAGCCGTTCTGTGCCCCGTCTTATATATGTAATACTTATACTTATATACTTATACTTATATATTATTATACTTATATACTTAGGCCTATATAAGGCCTACTTAATATTTGATTACTGACACAATGTAGGCTACTTGGTCATCGTTGTTTCTTCAATTTCCGATCTAACTTTACAAACTTACTATTTTCCCCGAAAACCTGTTCCTTTTTGTACACAATATACTTTGTGATCGTTGTTTTTTCAACGTCTGCTAACGCTTCCTCGAAATCCTTAAGTGTTTGAAAGATTTTATGTGAAAGCATCCTGTTTGTTGCGCGTTGGCATCCTTGACAGACTTGTCTGTTGGAGGCTCGCGAGCGCAACAAAAGTTGCCGTCTCATCCACGACCACTATTACGTCACTTCCGCCGCATAAAACCCAGGAGGTATACGATCTAGCACTAACCGTGCCTTCTCCTCTGCCAAAAGCCCCTCTTACCTGTGGGGTTCCCCAAGGCTCGATTCTGGGCCCCATCCTTTTTCTACTGTACATACTGCCCCTAGGTTCAATTCTCACAAAACATAATATTCCCTTCCACTGCTACGCCGACGATGTACAGATCTATCTGCCTCTCAAAGCAAATGTCAAACACTCACTACAGCAGTTGATGGACTGCTTAGCAGAGATAAAATCCTGGCTGAGCAAAAACTTTCTCAACCTCAACGAGAGCAAGACTGAGGTCATCTTTTTTCTCAGTGTCTCGGTCCTCTGAAGTCACCTCCATCATGTAAAAGGTGTAGGGCAGATTATGTTATGGTTTTATGGACCATGAAGAGTCAACATGTGTTTCAAATTTACATTTTTGACTGTTTTTAACCAGCAGTGTGACATTTTAATAAACTGCTTGTAAGTTTAAATTGTAAAGGCCAGTGCACATAGATCAACATTGCTGTAAACGTGCCAGTGTTAGCCAGCAGGCTAATTTTCAACTGTTGTCCTTTTGGCAAGATGTTAAAATAACCACAACAAGACTAGAGAAATAAAAACAAAATTAAAAAGAATACACTCAGCAACAGACAACACATAGGACCAGACAACAACACATAGGACCAGACAAACAGACAACAACACATAGGACCAGACAACAACAGACAACAACACACAGGACCAGACAACAACAGACAACAACAAATAGGACCAGACAACAGACAACAACACATAGGACCAGACAAACATGCAAACAGATGAAACACTATCATACTATGATACAGTGAAAAGTGTTCACATGTTTGATTGCTTAAAAGCCAGTTCTTAAGATAGTGGTTAAATGTATGATAGGAGGTGTTGTTCCTTATCTGTATTGGTATTGTGTTCCAGAGTGTTGGTGTCCTCACAGAGAAACCGTTTACCAAAGGAACTGGACCTAAGAGGGTCTGCACAGTCCCCTCTTAGGGCAGACCTTGTGGTTCTGCTGTATCAAAGTGCAGAGTGGTGGTGGGGGTGCCTTGCCGTTTATGGGGTGAAGCCTGCGAGCTAGTTCAGGCTCGAGCACTCATGCTGCATTCACACATAACGCCCCGTGCCACTCTACAGCCAACCAGAGTGTCCTTAATGTGCCGCTCTATTGAACCTGCCAGATCTCTCTCCATGCATTGCTTGCTGCTGCTACTCCACGTCGCTGCTCGCTGCCCCCCCCCCACCACCTGTAGGCTCGGGGGGGTAGTTATTTAATCATCACTCATCGTGCTTTGTATATCTGTGGAGTGATGAGGCCCGAGCCGAAACATATTAAACGTCTGAAACATGAATAAATAAGAGAGGATTATTTGAGGAACACTTTATTGGTTCGAACAGAATCTCTCTTTTCTCTTCATATCAAAACAAAACACATTTCATCATCGAACAGATTCAACCGCTCCTAATAAACAACGCTGTGAACACCTGGTTTACCTGTGAACACCTGGTTTACCTGTGAACACCTGGTTTACCTGTGAACACATGGTTTACCTGTGAACACCTGGTTTACCTGTGAACACCTGGTTTACCTGTGAACACCTGGTTTACCTGTGAACACCTGGTTTACCTGTGAACACATGGTTTACCTGTGAACACCTGGTTTACCTGTGAACACCTGGTTTACCTGTGAACACATGGTTTACCTGTGAACACCTGGTTTACCTGTGAACATATGGTTTACCTGTGAACACCTGGTTTACCTGTGAACACCTGGTTTACCTGTGAACACCTGGTTTACCTGTGAACACCTGGTTTACCTGTGAACACCTGGTTTACCTGTGAACACATGGTTTACCTGTGAACACCTGGTACTTTTACCCCCCTCAAAGATCTGTAGTTTATTATTCTATAACTTTGTAACAATTGACAGAAAAAGCTAAAATAAAACAAGAGTTTTGTAATAAAAAAAAATCCCTTTCCGAGTTTTTACTCCTAAAATTCACCTTTTGTCAAACAACTTGATAAATGAGTATTTCTCAAAGTAGTGTGATTGGTCAACCGCTTATAGATGTCCCGCCCCTTAACCTATCACGTGCAATGTGTTGCAGCGATAGCCAATAGGAGCGCGAGTGCAGTAGTGATGTCCATGTGGTAAATTGTTCAGTATTTTATTCAGATTTTTTTTGCATTTTGACTGAATTGTTGTTTTATTTAGAATTATTTGAAGGCATTTAATAATCTACTTTCTTCTTGTCAACAAATCTCAAGAAAAATAGTCAAAAAATATTTTCTCAACAAAATGCAGAACGTCTCGCTAAATTATAAATGAAAAAACTTGGATTTTATAACATTTTTCTATCAAATCTAACATTTAAATAAAAATTTTTTTGTTCTCGTTAATTTTTTAGGGTTTTTCTCCTGTTTTGGGATTTTTTTGAAATTCTAATTTGTTGGATTTGTTGACAAAAATAAATAAAAACTAGCTCTAATTAAATGCACGACTGTTTCTAATTTTGGTCAATTTTTAGGCACTTTCTCCGGGAGTTTTCGTGCTTCACTTTTATGGGAAAATAATAATTTAAAACTAAAAACAGGAATCAATCAAAGAAACATCAAAGCACGGCGTCACAAAATCCCAAATTTTAAAGCAGAAAATTCAACATGTCTCCTTCAGTTTTTGATTGTTTTTTCTCTCCAGATCTTCACAGTTTGAATTGAAGCGTTTGCATAATTAAGTATAAAACTAATTGGAGCTTCTTCTTCTGTACAGTTCATGGGACCCTATGGAAGCTCTTTAGTGTCAATAAAACAAAGGATAACATTTAAGAAATTATAAAAAAAATAATCAGATTTTTTGACATTTTTAAGTCAGAATTGTGAGTTTTATTATTTAAAATTATATTTTTTAATGTTATTTAAGTGAGTTTAACTTTCACTTTGAATCCAAATAATGAGATAAAGAGTCACAAAAGTGCCTTTTTTCATAAAAATGATAAGATTATTAAAGTGAAAAGATTGTTATTAAAAATCATAATAAATAAAAATATTTATTATAAGAGGAGCTTTTCAGTCATTATTAATTAATAATAATCACAATTATGAGAAAAAGCCAAAAAATATAATTTAAATATGTATCTTTTTTTATTTTCTTGGCACGAATGAGCTTCCATACTTCGTTTCCAGGTGAAATTGAAGGTTAAAAGAAAAAGAAAAACGATTTATTTACATTTGTTTTAATCATCTTATTCTCTTATTTACATTGTGTTCGTCTGTGACGAGGGTCTCTACGTCTGTAACGAGGGTCTCTGCGTCAGGAACGAGTGGTTTATCGGCTTTGAAATTCAGGGTGTTTTTATTAAAAATTGAGACGATGCAGAGCGAGCGTTTTCACTTCAAACCTTAAAAAAAAATCCATTCCTCGACGCATAAAAAACAAAATGGATGCCATAAAAATAAAATAATTCAGCCCTTTATATTCTGTCCGTTCAGCAGCGACACCTGTGTTTACATTTCTAACGAGAAGGAGAGAAGCTTCAGGTGTTTCAGGATTTAATTAAATATGTAACACACAGATAAACACTATGGAGGCAAATGAGTGCCATCGGAGGTTAAATATTTAAATATGGAGCCAAAGAGGCGAATAATGTTCTGGAAAGAACTGGAAAAGCTTCAGGATTAAAGTCGGGAAATCTAGGAGAAAATATGTGGATTTCTTTCTGAGATTTAAAGGATTTATTTGTGGGAAAAAAAATTCAAGATATCTAAAGAAAATTTCATTTTTTCCTCGTTAATTCAACACTTAATTCTTAAAAATATTTTACTAATTAAATAATTATTTTTGAAGAATATTCAAGTTTTCTTCCAATAAATCAGATTTCTTTCTGAAATTAATATTTATTTTTACTAAATTAAATTTCATGACAATTTCCCCCAAAAATTCTGGTAAATCAAATACATTTTCTTCTTAAATCGTACATTTCATTTTACAAAATGTCATCTTGGTTTCGTCAAATTATAATAATAATAATAATCTTGTAAATTCAGCAATTTAAATCTCAGAAAATTCACAAAGGTTTCTCCTAAAATCTCCACTTTAATGTCTGATTTTCCTCATTTCTCCTCAGAATGTTCCTCCACCTCGCGGCTCCACATCTTATTTATTTCCCCCACAACGCCTTCGATACGTCGCCTCAGTTTCTCTAACGTGAGGGTTTACAGTGAAGCTTCTTTCAGGATTGTTACCAAAACTTTTCCGTTCTTTTGCGTCCTCCAAAGATCTGTTTCCTGTCCAACGTCCGATCATCGTCCCTCGTTATCACCTCAATATCTCCTCATTATCTCCTCGTTATCACCTCGTTATCTCCTCGTTATCTCCTCGTTATCACCTCGTTATCTCCTCGTTATCGTCCCTGGTTAATCGTCTCGTTAGTCGTGGACAGCTCGTCTTCGGAGGATTCTTCCGTCCTTCGAGCCACATTTAAGTGCAAAAGCAGCTCCTATGCTAAGGTCTTTCGCCCGCTGGAAGAACGCCTAAAGAGGAGACATCGGGACGTTATTAGTGAATAAAGTTATTAAAAACACGCTTTATTTATTGTAATTCAATCGGTCGTACCTTTATGTAGTTTTTCAGGACTTTCACGTCCGGCTGCTGAAGAACCTGACAGAGCTCCTGCGAATAAAGTCAACATTTTACAGCTAAATATAACTAACTTTATACAGTATTTAATGTGACATAAAGACCTCTTTTTGTGCTTTTTTAAGACATTTCTTGCATCATTTTCTTGTATCTTCATATATTTCTTATTTTTCACTAAATCCAATAAAATATGGAGGCAAATTACAAGTATTACATGTTGGTTTTTGCTCATTTAATGTTGAAAATACGACGTTTTAAGTCAAAAATATGCGAAATAAAGTCAATTTGTATATACTTAAAGGCCTAAACACAGCAGGAGTGTGAGGAATAAACAACAGCATCATGCAAAAATACAAATTTACATAAAAAATATTCATAATATTCATTAAATATCACAGAAAAACAACAGTTTGACAGAATATATTGACGTAATCAAGTCACGATTACAAGATTTAAGCCAAAAACCCTCTGTTATGAGAAAAGAGACTGAAACTCAGACTCGTGCCCTCAGGTAAGCTCACCTGTGAGATCTCCGGAGCGACCTGCAGAGAGGGAAGATACTCCTGCTGCAGAAACTGGATAAACTCCAGACCCTGAAACACAAAATATCACAGATTCATAAATAAATGAGGAATACATTGCAGTATTTTAAATGTATTAAAATAAGAGTTTGTACCCGTTTGAGATGAATAGTTTTCAGCGTGATCGCACACTCCGACAGCGTCTGGAAGAAGACAAACGTTAACAACACGTTAGACGTAAACAACAACAACATGACGCGTAAAATAAAAATCGTTAAAATATCCAAATCTAGCCCCGATGCAGAAAAAAACATGATATCCGTGTTTTCTTCCCGTAATGTAATATCTGAATCCCAGAAACTCAGAGTTGATTCCCTGATTACACATTTGTTTTTGGGGACCCTCACCAGAACGGTCTGAGCGTCTGAGAGGTCGAAGCTGGGTTTGAGCGGAGCGAGGAAACAGGCGGGGACGATGTGTTTGTAGATGAAGTCGGGGAATCCCACCATGCCGTCTTTCCCTCCTGCAGGAAGAGCAACACTCAGTTAGAAACACACAGAATACTTTAGATATATGTGTATATGTGTATATGTGTATATATGTATATGTGTATATATGTATATATGTATATATGTATATATGTATATATGTATATGTGTATATCTCACCCCACAGCTCCACCAGCTTGGAGAGGATGATGAAGCAGCTCTTCTGGGCGATCGGGTCGGGGAAGTCCACGGCGCCCTGGATGATCGTGAACACGACGCGCTCGATGTTCTCCGCTCCTGGAGGAACATAGAAAACATTCATACAGTTAAGAAATGGGAAGATTCTGAGAAAAAACACAAATTAACGGTTTAAAAATCACAGTTTGAGGGCCATCGTAAAAGGAGAAGTCCATCTTAAAAAAAGGAGGTGTTGTCGAGGATATTCTGAGAAAGAAAACTGGATAAAAACTTAAATTTTGTGTTAAACTTACTACAAAAAAATCCAACATCTGCAGGAAATTCTCTTCATTTGATGTTAGTCATATGTTGTCTGTTAGCTTAGCATAAAGACTGGAAACGGAGGGAAACTGCTAGCGTGTCTCTCTCGAACAGTGAAATAAAATCTTGTGTTTTTCACCGTTTTCTTCCATTTTAAGCAATAAAACACGTTTCTTTGAGCAGATTTTCCTCAGTTTCCTCTCAGATATTGAATGTTTCTCCATGCACACGTACCCTGGTTGGCCATGACCTCGTTCATGCCGCTGCCGGCCACCGTCTGGATGAAGGTGAAGTAGCTCCTCCTCAGCATCTGCTTCTCCAGCGCCGCCGCCTGGTCGTTCTCCTCCGCCGGGCGGCCCAAAACCTCAAAGATCGAGAGGACCAGAGGCATGAAGACCTGCTGCAGGAAGGGGGATACCTGCGACTGCAAACGGGAGGAAGAAGAATTAATAATATATGTTATTATGGTTGTTATTAATGTAGAGAAAAGAGAGAAGCAGCGGCATGAAAACCTGCCGCAGGAACCGGAGGAAAAACATTGAAATCCCTGTTATTATATTACAATGTGTCCGTATGGAACAGCTGCCCTCAAAAGGCCGTCATCAGATTCAGTTTTGTTGAATATTTTCTGAATTTTAATCGGGGAATACTATAGTTTGTCTATTTGCGTCCGTAGGTTTCTCCTAAATTCACCAAAAGTTAGCATTCTAACGTAACATAAAGTACCATGACCGCTGTTTGCACCATGTCATCAGAGGTATTGTTGGAAAGCTCCGTCTCTCATGCACAATCTCATCGGATCCAAATATGGTCATTTCCTTTGTATCAGCAACCAATCGTGAAAGTACAAAGGGGTCTTAAACCAAGAAACAAAATCTCATTGGCTGGTGTCAATTTCTGACAACGTGATTCGTTCAGATGCGTCACGTGGTGTGCTAAAACACTTCCTGGTTAGCTTTCCGCTAGAAATTTAAATCTCAAAATGCCAAAAGAACGGCGAAAAAAACGTTCACAGAGAAGACGACAACAATTGTCACTTGCACGAAGCAAGGTTATACAAAAAACAAATTACCCTGAACATGAAATACCTTCACGGAGTGCGTCGAGGCGCAAGCTGTCATCCAAAGAACAGGAGGGTTTAGCTAGCGCCACACTGCAATCTTTAAAGGTTGTTTTCTCAAAATGAGTTTTTTGTCCTCTTCTGAGTCCGAAATGTCCACTTCAGTAGCACGTACATACACCAAACCTTCCAGTTATATTCCTATCAATATTATGAAGGCTTTTACAGAAGGGTTTGTTCATATATCATTCATAGCCTGAATTATATAACATTTTATACCTAAAAACATGGCGGAAATTGATATTTTAGGGCTGTTGACAGTATTTTCTGATTTATGGAGTGATAAAAAGAGATATCCAAAATCCCTTCTGTAAAAGCCTTAGATTCTAATATGACTACAAAATGAAACAAGAATTTTGAACCTGGCTTTATCCAAAGTTCAGATTTCGATTCCTGAAATGTATTAAAATATGCGCATATCTAATGAGATAATGGCTCATTTGCATATTTAAACATGCTATTTCAGAAAACTTGTAATACAAAAAACAATTGTCTTATTGTAAGTACTTAACTGGAGAAATTTCTAGCTGATATCTTTAAGTTAAAAGAATTACCCTATTCCGTATTAGGTGCCTTACAAATAATGGACGTCCGCTCTCGGGAGCGTCGGATTGGTGCGGTCACCCTAAGTGACAGACCTAAAGTATCCGGGATTCAGGCACCTTCCCTGGCTTGTACATTTTTCGTGATGCGCCCTGCAGGTATCAGACTATTTTAAACAACTTTTCCCCGCCTTTCAAACACTTATTCCTGGGTTTTAGCCAGTCATTTTGCACGATATCGTTTAACATTGACGCTCTCCTGAAAATGCACATATTCTGTGCATTTTCAGGAGAGCGTCAATGTTAAATGATATCGTGCAAAATGACTGGCTAAAACTCTCTTCCAGACATTTAAAAATACTTTCCCCGACCATTTAAACATTATTTCTGGCTTGTAAAGTGCAGTTATGCGCCCTGGAGGTATTATACTATTTCAAACAACTTTTCCCCGCCTTTCAAACACTTATTCCTGGGTACAAGTGTTATCTTTTCCCCCCTGGGTGTGTGTGAGACAGGTGAACTGAGTCAGCCTGCCAACAAGCAGCAGTCTGCTGTCATTTTAAACAGTTCCCCCGACTTTTTGACACACTTTTACCCACGTTTTGAGCACTCATTCCTGGGTCAATGTGTCATCTCTTCACCCTGGTCCTGAAATAAAACAGTTCCCCGACTTTTTAACACACTTTTACCCACGTTTTGAGCACTCATTCCTGGGTCAATGTGTCATCTCTTCACCATGGTCCTGAATTAAAACAGTTCCCCGACTTTTTAACACACTTTTACCCACGTTTTGAGCACTTATTCCTGGGTCAATGTGTCATCTCTTCACCCTGGTCTTGAATTAAAACAGTTCCCCCGACTTTAAGCACTAATGTGCCCATGATTCAGACACTTATTCCGGGGTCAATGTGTTCTCTTTTCCCCCCTGGGTGTGTGTGAGACAAGTGAACTGAATCAGCCTGCCAACAAGCAGCAGTCTGCTGTCATTTGAAACATATTCCCCCGACTTTTAACACACTTTTACCCATGTTTTCAGCACTTATTCCTGGGTAGAAAAGACATGTGCTGTAGCCTGGTTCTACTGGGTACTAGTTAATGCCACTATCACCACCACATTTAAACCAGATGAACTGGTAGTTATCCGGGGTGCTGGAGAGTCATTTTCAGGCTCCTCTCCACAATTGTCCCCCTAAAATGATTTTAAATCATTATTTTTGCATTTCAATGCATTTATTCTATCATTTATATGGTTCCCCAACACAATGCACATAGTCTGGAGCTCACTGGGGTCCTGCATATAATTTAATCAGGCGTTTTAACACTTTTTCCCATGAAAATGATTTTTAATCACTATCATGGGGCTATGAAAATCAAATTCCGGGTAATGCAGAGCACAATTGCACCTTTTACTATTTAAATGTATTTGTATTATATATATTTGGGCTAGAAAGGTGACCTCTCTGGGTGATTTAGTCAGTTTATGGAGCTTAGCCCACAAATCCTGGATGATCCAGGCCGAATTTGGGTGCTCATAGGCGGCCTGCCAGGCGCCCCCACCCGTGGAAAGCAAAACAAAGTGAAGAAAACGGTTAATTATATCTTAAAATAATCAAAAATGAAGTTTTGAAAAAATTTCAAAAAAATGACAGAGTGCCAACGGAGAAGGGGCTCAACTGTTTGGGGCTTTTTCCCCTTCTCCGTTGTTTGTTGCAACGGAGAAGGGGAAATGAAGCCCCGGGACCTTTTCCCCTTCCCTGTTAAAAAAATTCGTTCAAACTTTTCAAACTACCGTCTGAACGAAATCAGAAACCCGGTTTTTGGGTGCACTTAGAAAAAAAAACGGCTGTTTCTAATCTTGGAAGAATGTATCCGATGAAAGTGCACTTTGGCTCGGATGAATTTGATGCCTCAAGACCCCCTAGCCTGGTTCTCAAAATACTTTAAGTTTGACTCTGGATGAATGCAAGGGCAGTTTGCAGGGGACTTTGTCTGCATTATAATGCACTATTTTGGGACACAATTTTCTCATTTTGACCCCTTTTCCTGGTTCTCACAAAAGTTAACTGATTATTTTGCCCATGGAGGAATGCCAGGGGAGTCGACAGGGGACTCCTGCGGGGTCATGATGCACTATATTGGGACACAATTTTCTCATTTTGACCCCTTTTCCTGGTTCTCACAAAAGTTAACTCTGATTATTTTGCCCATGGAGGAATGCTAGGGGAGTCGACAGGGGACTCCTGCGGGGTCATGATGCACTATATTGGGACACAATTTTCTCATTTTGACCCCTTTTCTGGTTCTCACAAAAGTTAACTGATTATTTTGCCCATGGAGGAATGCCAGGGGAGTCGACAGGGGACTCCTGCGGGGTCATGATGCACTATATTGGGACACAATTTTCTCATTTTGACCCCTTTTCCTGGTTATCACAAAAGTTAACTCTGATTATTTTGCCCATGGAGGAATGCCAGGGGAGTCGACAGGGGACTCCTGCGGGGTCATGATGCACTATATTGGGACACAATTTTCTCATTTTGACCCCTTTTCCTGGTTCTCACAAAAGTTAACTCTGATTATTTTGCCCATGGAGGAATGCCAGGGGAGTCGACAGGGGACTCCTGCGGGGTCATGATGCACTATATTGGGACACAATTTTCTCATTTTGACCCCTTTTCCTGGTTATCACAAAAGTTAACTCTGATTATTTTGCCCATGGAGGAATGCCAGGGGAGTCGACAGGGGACTCCTGCGGGGTCATGATGCACTATATTGGGACACAATTTTCTCATTTTGACCCCTTTTCCTGGTTCTCACAAAAGTTAACTCTGATTATTTTGCCCATGGAGGAATGCCAGGGGAGTCGACAGGGGACTCCTGCGGGGTCATGATGCACTATATTGGGACACAATTTTCTCATTTTGACCCCTTTTCCTGCTTCTCACAAAAGTTGACTCTGATTATTTTGCCCATGGAGGAATGCCAGGGGAGTCGACAGGGGACTCCTGCGGGGTCATGAGGCACTATTTCCGGGTACTTTTTTTCATTTTCACCCAAATTTCCCTGGATGAAATATATATATATTTTTTAGTTTTTAGCGCATTTTCACCCAGTTCTGGCCACCGCGTTGCCTGGAGGACGCTTTTGCGGGGCCATGAGGCACTATTCCTGGGTACTTTTTTTCATTTTCACCCAAATTTCCCTGGATGAAATATCTTTTTTTTTGTTGTTTTTAGCCCATTTTCACCCAGTTTTGGCCACAGCGTTGCCTGGAGGATAGGACCGAGATATGACAGACTCTCTGGCCGCCTCACAAGTCACTATTGTCGGACACTTTCTTTGCTTTACCCCGGTTGTATCACTCTTTCCTCCTTTGACCATACAACCCGTTTCCTGCTGGGGTGGTGCCTGGTTCCGGGGCACCCCAAACCCTCTCATGGTCGGGGCACCATGCATTGATGCATCGGACCCAATGTTGCCATCACCAGCCCCGCGTTGGTGGGACCATCCAACCCGGTGGTAACCCAAGCCCTCCCTTGGTCTGTGCACCTGTCACGGAGCCGTACGAGATTTAACTAATTTAAAGGGGACCTATCATGCAAAATGCATTTTTCTACGTCTGTTATACATGAATATGTGTCCCCGGTGTGTCAGGGAACTCACCAAGTGTCAGAAAACACAACCCTCTCTCTTTTCATCCATACCCAAATCTCTAAAAACGGGGCTGCAACGGAGCTGATAGAGATTTGAATTTCTCTGACGTCAGAAAAGGGGTGCTCCGCCTATATGGGCAACTCTCCACCTATCAGGGGGATGAGAGGTTGGGCCACGGCCATTGCCCAACCTCTCATTCGCATATAGGCTGTCGGAAAGCTTAATCTCCCCCAGTCTGTGTTTTTGCATGCTCTTGCCAGGATGTCTAAGGGAGTTAAACGTTGTGCTGTTGTTGGCTGCAAGAATCGGGACAAGGACAAGGGACTGCATGCAATGCCATCCCTGGAAAAAGACAAGAATCTGTGGCTAGACTTCATTTTCAAGGGACATGTGCCAGAACACTCCGGCAGATTTCTGCTTGTGTGTTCTAAACATTTTACCACGGAGATGTTTATAAACTAGATTTTTTTTCACCGGTCAACATGTCCGTTAAAGTTTAAATCTTCCGCACAAAATTAGAAAAGTGCCGTTCAAAGGTCTTCTTTGTTATTTATTGAGCTTTAAAACAAATGAATAATGACTCTATATAATCATATAAGAATAATACACGGAGGACGGAGCCTCTCTTTTCCTCCCCCTCATCTCAAAGCACGCTCCCCTCTCCTGCAGGGGGGCGTGGTCAGCTGCAGCTCATTTGCATTAAAGCTACGTCACAGAATCAGCCCTTTCAAAAACAGGCTGGAAAGAGCAAATAGAGCGAAATGAGGCATGGCTAAAATGCATGATCTGTTTGGTATTTTGAAAAAAAAACTTCACAGACATGTTTTATATAGGTATGGCTCTACAATATATTATTCAAATATAGCATGATAGGTCCACTTTAATTAATTAGCTTTCTACATAAATTTGATATTTCGGAATTTTAAAAAACTTGGATAATAATGGAATTATGTTTCAGGAAATATTTGTTGTTTTCTCTCTTAAATGTTCCACTTTAATTATTGTACATTTGTATTCTAGTATATTTTAATAATTAATTGATAATGAATTGATCCGTACCTGTGTTGTGTTCAGGGTCGCGCTCTGTCCCGGGCGAAATCTCGCAGAAACATCGGCTTCCAGGACGTTTTGGACAAACTCGCCGATCAAGGAATCGCCATCAGGGTCGCCTCGCCAAAACTCGTCATGGAGGAGGTGAGGAGGGGTTATTTTTTACATCAGTAATTCAATCATTATTGGGTTATTCTTTGTTTGGGTTGTGGCGGCGACTTTGTCACCTCTAACATTTCGGGAACATTTTTTGATATTATTTTTGCGACTCAAAGTTGGCACTAAACCTCTTCCTTATCTGTTTTGTTTTCAAGAAAATAATCTTTTGTTGATTTTCTTTTGTAATTTAATCAAATATCATAATTTCATATATATTTTTTTTCGATACTTCTATTTAAAATGGGATTTTCTTTTTTACGGAAATGTGATTTTCTAACTTTTTATCCTCACCTAACCCTAACCCTTCTCGTATATTTGTTACTTTAATCTTAGATATTATCCACGCTTTCTTAAAATTGTTATTAGTTTCATTTCAGTATACATTTCTTATTGACAGATTTGTTATTTATTTTCAATAATCTTTTATTTTTCATCACGTTGGCACTAATTGGCTTCCATATTTGCAAACAATCAAGCATTTTATTTTTTAAACTTCCCTCGGAATATCTTTTTGTTTTTTACACTTTGGCATGAATTGGCTTCCGTACTTTGCAAACAACAATGGATTTCTTTGTTGTTTTTCATCTCTTTGGCATTAATCCTCTTCCATACTATGCAAACACTAAATTATTTTTCTCCCGTGTTTCCTTCAGGCTCCTGAATCGTACAAGAACGTGACGGACGTTGTGAACACGTGTCACGACGCAGGAATCAGTCAGAAGGCGATCAAACTGCGACCGATCGCCGTCATTAAAGGATGAATACTGCACGACGTTAAAAACTTTAACCACAAACAGGAAGCTCGTTAAGGACAGGAAGCTCGTTAAGGACAGGAAGACTTCTGAGCGGGGAAGCAGAAGATACTTCACTCATTTCTGGAGTCGAATGAATTTATGTTGAAGAAAGGAATTTAATTTCTAACCTGAAAAGAAAATGTAAAAATGTTCTGTTCATGCCAAATAAAAAATATCACTAAAAGCTGCATTACAGAAACACCTTTAATGTTCCCTTTGTTTGCCTCTACGCAAGTTATAAGATACCAATACATAATATTTTAGAAGATCCAGTTTCTTTATATTAGTTATCGAGTCAAACTAGGAAATATTTAGGGAATAAAAACTGGATTTCCTTTGAAGATAAACAACACGAAACATGTTTTTATTCACTAATTATTTCATTGATTTTCTTTCTTTTTGATTGCTGTTAATGATTTATTTACGATTAAAAATGCCGGCTAATTGGCTTTAAAATAAAGATAAAACTGACCATTTTCTTAGCGATTCTTCTTACTGCTTAAACTGCAGAAGAGAAATCCCTAAAAGCTGAATTTAATGATAAACTGTGTTACAGAAACACCCTAAATGTTCCTTTTCTTTGCCTCTAATTAATTGAACACTTTCTTAATTGTTTTGATACAGATGAATAATAAACCACTAATAGACAGGGCCTCTTTAATGTGTGGTGATCAGTCAGACGCTGTAGATACAGATGAATAATAACTCCCTCCTCATGACTCTCTCAGTCATATCTCCAGGTTGTGGGAAAGACTTCCTGTTCTCAGATCTGTTCTGAAGAGCTGATGTCCTCTGAAGGAAAGCGCTGAGCAGAAGAAACTGAAAGCATGCAGAGAGTTTCACCGTTTATTTGATTGAACATAGAAAATAGTCTCTGTGATCTCTGTTGATATCTGATCTCAGGTCTGTGTGCAGGGCTTCATTTATTCACATGTTCTCATCATTATACGTCTCTCTCCATGTTCCCTCATTATATCTAACCTGATTGACCTCTTCATATATATCAGACCCTTCCTCTCCAATTACACTTTCTCATCAATTCAGACAAATGTTTAAATTCATTATTTAAAATTAATATTCCTTTGGTTCAAAACGGAGAAAAACTCTTTTCAAATAAGCAAAGAATAAGCAAAGTTGTTATAAAATAAGCAAAATCCTTAATTATACAAAAAATATGCAAAAGTTTTAAGAACAGAGTTTTGGTAAATTCTTATAAAACAAACAAAAAACTGTTTAAGATAAAAAAATAGGTACAAAATAAATGTTTGATCATTTGTCGAGAACAAAATGTAATTTTTTTTTTCTGAACATCAAAATCTAACCTGAAGTTTATTTAACTACAAAACTCAAATCTTCCTAAAATCAAGCAAAAACTCTAAAATGCTAAAGTCAGACATTTTGAGAAAAAGTCGGACATTTTGAGAAAATGTTAAAATGTTGAGAAAATGTTAAAATTGAGAACATTTCCAAAAAGTATCTCAGAGCAGGGGCTGAATGATCCTATGCTTTATATGATGGGATCAGCTAGATATATGTGAGTGTCGGGAGGAGCTGCTACTCTTCCTCTGCAGGAACAGCCAGGATCACTTCCTGCAGCTCCATGTCCTCCTGTCTGTCAGGCTGCCCCCTGGTGGCCTGCAGAGACATGACAGCCAGGTTCACTTCCTGCAGCTCCATGTCCTCCTGTCTGTCAGGCTGCCCCCTGGTGGCCTACAGAGACATGACAGCACAGAGGTGACTACCTGCTCCTCTTCAGGCCCACATCACAGTCCTCTGAACACATGCCTACCTTGCAGACGAAGTAAAGGCCGCTGGCCAGCAGCAGAGTCAGCAGCTGAACCATCAGCAGGACGACGGCTCGGAGGATCAGAGGTGGGGGATCTGAGGGGACATCAGACATCACAGCATGAGGCCAGCAGTCCCACTAACTGCACTCTGGAGGCTTTCAGATGTTTCCCAGAGTGGGACCTCTTTAAAAAGCTCTCAGTGAGAGACAGGTGAGAGACAGACAGGTGAGAGACAGACAGGTGAGAGACAGACAGGTGAGAGACAGACAGGTGAGAGAGAGACAGGTGAGAGACAGACAGGTGAGAGACAGACAGGAGAGAGAGACAGGTGAGAGACAGACAGGAGAGAGACAGACAGGTGAGAGACAGACAGGTGAGAGAGAGACAGGTGAGAGAGAGACAGGTGAGACACAGACAGGAGAGAGAGACAGGTGAGAGACAGATGAGAGACAGACAGGTGAGAGACAGACAGGTGAGAGAGAGACAGGTGAGAGAGAGACAGGTGAGAGACAGACAGGTGAGAGAGAGACAGGTGAGAGACAGACAGGAGAGAGACAGACAGGTGAGAGACAGACAGGTGAGAGAGAGACAGGTGAGAGACAGACAGGTGAGAGAGAGACAGGTGAGAGACAGACAGGTGAGAGACAGACAGGTGAGAGACAGACAGGTGAGAGAGAGACAGGTGAGAGACAGACAGGAGAGAGACAGACAGGTGAGAGACAGACAGGTGAGAGAGAGACAGGTGAGAGACAGACAGGTGAGAGAGAGACAGGTGAGAGACAGACAGGTGAGAGACAGACAGGTGAGAGACAGACAGGTGAGAGAGAGACAGATGAGAGAGAGACAGGTGAGAGAGAGACAGGTGGAGAGACAGGTGAGAGACAGACAGGTGAGAGAGAGACAGATGAGAGAGAGACAGGTGAGAGAGAGACAGGTGAGACACAGACAGGTGAGAGAGAGACAGATGAGAGACAGACAGGTGAGAGAGAGACAGGTGAGAGAGAGACAGGTGAGAGACAGGTGAGAAGAGAGAGACAGATGAGAGAGAGACAGACAGGTGAGAGAGAGACAGATGAGAGAGAGACAGGTGAGAGACAGACAGGTGAGAGAGAGACAGGTGAGAGGAGAGACAGGTGAGAGACAGACAGGTGAGAGAGAGACAGGTGAGAGAGAGACAGGTGAGAGACAGACAGGTGAGAGAGAGACAGGTGAGAGACAGACAGGAGAGAGACAGACAGGTGAGAGACAGACAGGTGGAGAGAGAGACAGGTGAGAGACAGACAGGTGAGAGAGAGACAGGGTGAGAGACAGACAGGTGAGAGACAGACAGGTGAGAGACAGACAGGTGAGAGAGAGACAGGTGAGAGACAGACAGGAGAGAGACAGACAGGTGAGAGACAGACAGGTGAGAGAGAGACAGGTGAGAGACAGACAGGTGAGAGAGAGACAGGTGAGAGACAGACAGGTGAGAGACAGACAGGTGAGAGAGAGACAGGTGAGAGAGAGACAGGTGAGACACAGACAGGAGAGAGAGAGAACAGGTGAGAGACAGACAGATGAGAGACAGACAGGTGAGAGACAGACAGGTGAGAGAGAGACAGGTGAGAGAGAGACAGGTGAGAGACAGACAGGTGAGAGAGAGACAGGTGAGAGACAGACAGGAGAGAGACAGACAGGTGAGAGACAGACAGGTGAGAGAGAGACAGGTGAGAGACAGACAGGTGAGAGAGAGACAGGTGAGAGACAGACAGGTGAGAGACAGACAGGTGAGAGACAGACAGGTGAGAGAGAGACAGGTGAGAGACAGACAGGAGAGAGACAGACAGGTGAGAGACAGACAGGTGAGAGAGAGACAGGTGAGAGACAGACAGGTGAGAGAGAGACAGGTGAGAGACAGACAGGTGAGAGACAGACAGGTGAGAGAGAGACAGATGAGAGAGAGACAGGGTGAGAGAGAGACAGACAGGTGAGAGAGAGACAGATGAGAGAGAGACAGGTGAGAGAGAGACAGGTGAGAGACAGACAGGTGAGAGAGAGACAGATGAGAGACAGACAGGTGAGAGAGAGACAGGTGAGAGAGAGACAGGTGAGACACAGACAGGTGAGAAGAGAGAGACAGATGAGAGAGAGACAGACAGGTGAGAGAGAGACAGATGAGAGAGAGACAGGTGAGAGAGAGACTGGTGAGAGACAGACAGGTGAGACACAGACAGGTGAGAGACAGACAGGTGAGAGAGAGACAGGTGAGAGAGAGACAGGTGAGACACAGACAGGTGAGAGACAGACAGGTGAGAGACAAGACAGGTGAGAGACAGACAGGTGAGAGAGAGACAGATGAGAGAGAGACAGACAGGTGAGACACAGACAGGTGAGACACAGACAGGTGAGAGACAGACAGGTGAGAGACAGACAGGTGAGAGAGAGACAGACAGGTGAGAGACAGACAGGTGAGAGAGAGACAGGTGAGAGAGAGACAGGTGAGAGACAGACAGGTGAGAGACAGATAGATGAGAGAGAGACAGGTGAGAGACAGACAGGTGAGACACAGACAGGTGAGAGACAGACAGGTGAGAGACAGACAGGTGAGAGACAGACAGGTGAGACACAGACAGGTGAGAGACAGACAGGTGAGAGACAGACAGGTGAGAGACAGACAGGTGAGAGATAGACAGGTGAGAGACAGACAGGTGAGAGATAGACAGGTGAGAGACAGACAGGTGAGACACAGACAGGTGAGAGACAGACAGGTGAGACACAGACAGGTGAGAGACAGACAGGTGACAGACAGGTGAGAGACAGACAGGTGAGAGACAGACAGGTGAGAGACAGACAGGTGAGAGACAGACAGGTGAGAGATAGACAGGTGAGAGACAGACAGGTGAGAGATAGACAGGTGAGAGACAGACAGGTGAGAGACAGACAGGTGAGAGACAGACAGGTGACAGACAGACAGGTGACAGACAGACAGGTGAGAGACAGACAGGTGAGAGAGAGACAGGTGACAGACAGACAGGTGCACACTGAGCTTACCTGAGACAGTGACAGACAGACAGGTGACAGACAGACAGGTGAGAGACAGACAGGTGACAGACAGACAGGTGAGAGACTGAGCTTACCTGAGACAGTGACAGACAGCAGACGGCTCTCAGAGGAGAAGTTATGAGAGCGAACCAACAGGTGATAAACACAGCTGTAGTTTCCCTGGTGGGCGGGCTCTGCACCCGGGAACAGGAAGTGGGCGCTGTGATTGACAGCTGGCTGGGTGTAGTTGTGAGTGGAGGAGCTGAGCAGGAAGGAGCCTCCTGGGTACTGAGGCTGGATGGAGCAGCTGATGCTGAAGGTGGAGCCTCTGAACACCTGGACCCCCTGCTGCTGGGCCCCGGAGACCCCGTACATGGAGGAGGACACAGAGATGCTGGGCTGAAGCAGCAGGTCTGTAGACAGGTGAGAGACAGACAGGTGAGAGAGAGACAGGTGAGAGACAGACAGGTGAGAGACAAACAGGTGAGAGACAGAAAGGTGAGAGAGACAGGTGAGAGACAGGTGAGAGACAGACAGGTGAGAGACAGACAGGTGAGAGACAGACAGGTGAGAGACAGACAGGTGAGAGAGAGACAGGTGAGAGACAGACAGGTGAGAGACAGACAGGTGAGAGACAGACAGGTGAGAGACAGACAGGTGAGAGACAGACAGGTGAGAGACAGACAGGTGAGAGAGAGACAGACAGGTGAGAGACAGACAGGTGAGAGACAGACAGGCTGCTGCATTACTGTGATGATGGGACTGATGGACTTACCTGAGCAGGTGATATTCAGGATGGAAGCAGAGGGAAGTGATATCGCACAGTCCCTCAGAGCAGATTCAGAATCAAGACAGTAAGGATTGATCATCCACACAGGTCTCACTGAGGACTCCTCTCTCTGTCCTACAGAAACAGCAGAGCCACAGCCGAGCTCTCTGCAGGCGACTTCTGCTATCTCCAGGTCCCATTCCTCACTAAGAGCAACCACTGGTCTCCATTCTCCCTGACCTCTCACCTCCAGGTCTCCCTCACAGCGACTGGACCCTCCCTCCAGCCTGACAGGCTCTGAACAGAAACAGGAGAGTGATCAGTAAAAGAAGAGAGTTCACAGAGAGGGGAAGCCCCGCCCCTTCCTGTGGACCAACATGAGACCTGATTACAGAAACACATGGATGCTCAGCGGAGAGAGAGCAGTCCTTTCTGGTCCTGTTTGAAGTGTTCCATGTTCAACACAGTCTGAGTCTCTGAAAGAGGATCCTTAACACGGCCAGACCTCAGATGTGGAACTCATGGAACAATTCAAACGCTATAAACTGTTCGTCTCTCGCCGCCGTGCGTTTCCTCAGAAATAAGTTCCCAGGGGGACACAGGAAGGGGCGGGGCTTCCCCTCTCTGTCAGAACAGAATGAACCAATCACAGCTCCTCTCTACCTGAGCAGGTGAGGCTAACAGCTGTGCCAGGTGAGCAGGTGGTGTTTCTCTCTGAGGCTGAGCTACAGTCCAGGAGAGCAGACTCATGGCCTCCACACTGGAACTCTTTGGTCCCCATTGGAGCCTCCCCTTCTCCATAGAGCGCCCCCTGGAGGACTGAAGGAGCCCCACAGCCCAGCTGCCTGCAGACCACCTGAGCATCCTGCTGGTCAAAGTCAGCCTCACACACTGAGGACCAGGACGGGTTAGACGGGTCAGACTTCACCTCCAGTCTGCCTGAGCACAGACCAGTCCCCCCCAGCAGCCTGACAGAGTCTGCAGAGGACAGAAGGTCAAACAGAGGTCAAAGACACACCATCAAAGAGATGAAACTATATTTCAGATTCAAACTGGACTCAGTTCCAACATGAGTTGATGATGAACAACAGAACACATGTTGATAAGAACACAGACTGCAGGTACCCTCACATCTACATCTGATACCCTCTAGCAAGTGGTCTCCATTAGTGAACCCTTCCCCTGTGTCTTCAACAACACCTCCTCCTCTGCAGACCCTCTGCTCCTTCTGCTCAGCTCCACCTCTGCTCTCACACACACACTTTCAAAAGGTTTCATTCTTTACTCTCACATGTGTGTTTCACATGTGTTATCTGACTGATGTTTGTAAAGACCTTGTTCTTCAACATGGCGTCATCATTGAATTCAAGCTGCTGTTTGTTTATTGATCTCGTGTTTTCCATTAAATGGTGAATTGTATCATTCTAGAGGTGGAGGCTCCAAATAACCCGGTGGGTTCATGACTCTTCATATCAGCCGTGCTCCAGGCTGCAAGGAGTGAAATGAAATGTAACACTGCTTGTTCATTTCTTTGGGTTCACATTACATTGATTCATTTTAGAGACACAGAAAGCAGAGAGGCAGAATCTGGAGAGAGACGGCCCCTGCTGTGAGGACGATGGCTCTGGCCTCTAGACGGCCCCTGCTGTGAGGACGATGGCTCTGGCCTCTAGACGGCCCCTGCTGTGAGGACGATGGCTCTGGCCTCTAGACGGCCCCTGCTGTGAGGACGATGGCTCTGGCCTCTAGACGGCCCCTGCTGTGAGGACGATGGCTCTGGCCTCTAGACGGCCCCTGCTGTGAGGACGATGGCTCTGGCCTCTAGACGGCCCCTGCTGTGAGGACGATGGCTCTGGCCTCTAGACGGCCCCTGCTGTGAGGACGATGGCTCTGGCCTCTAGACCGCCCTGCTGTGAGGACGATGGCTCTGGCCTCTAGACGGCCCCTGCTGTGAGGACGATGGCTCTGGCCTCTAGACGGCCCCTGCTGTGAGGACGATGGCTCTGGCCTCTAGACGGCCCCTGCTGTGAGGACGATGGCTCTGGCCTCTAGACGGCCCCTGCTGTGAGGACGATGGCTCTGGCCTCTAGACGGCCCCTGCTGTGAGGACGATGGCTCTGGCCTCTAGACGGCCCCTGCTGTGAGGACGATGGCTCTGGCCTCTAGACGGCCCCTGCTGTGAGGACGATGGCTCTGGCCTCTAGACGGCCCCTGCTGTGAGGACGATGGCTCTGGCCTCTAGACGGCCCCTGCTGTGAGGACGATGGCTCTGGCCTCTAGACGGCCCCTGCTGTGAGGACGATGGCTCTGGCCTCTAGAAGGCCCCTGCTGTGAGGACGATGGCTCTGGCCTCTAGACGGCCCCTGCTGTGAGGACGATGGCTCTGGCCTCTAGACGGCCCCTGCTGTGAGGACGATGGCTCTGGCCTCTAGACGGCCCCTGCTGTGAGGACGATGGCTCTGGCCTCTAGACGGCCCCTGCTGTGAGGACGATGGCTCTGGCCTCTAGACGGCCCCTGCTGTGAGGACGATGGCTCTGGCCTCTAGACGGCCCTGCTGTGAGGATGATGGCTCTGGCTCTACGGCCCCTGCTGTGAGGACGATGGCTCTGGCCTCTAGACGGCCCCTGCTGTGAGGACGATGGCTCTGGTCTCTCCCCTCTCACTCTTTTGAAAACTCTGAACATGGATTCTTGTGACTCTGTAAATGACTGCTATATTTTCCTCCTTCCTCTGCGGGGTCTGCGGGACGTCCTACGTTGTGTTTGCGCCGCGCTGCGACTATGTGAGCTCGGTCCAATCACAACAGGCCATTTTACGTTTAAGTGATTCATTCGTACACTGTTCATCATTTGTTATTTGGGTTTGTGTATTTTTAAATTGTAAAAACAAGAAAATGAAAACAATAAATTAAAATGTCATCGATGATGTCACTGATGATGTCACTGATGATGTCACTGATGATGTCACTGATGATGTCACTGATGGGCTTACCTGAGCAGGAGAGAGTCAGGATGTGTTTAGAGGAACCTGATGCTGCACACTCGCTCAGAGCAGATCCAGACAGAGCACAGTCAGATATGATCCCCCACACAGGTCTCTCTGAGGACTCCTCTCTCTCTCCCACAGAAACAGCAGAGCCACAGTTGAGCTCTCTGCAGGCGACTCCTGCTTCCTTCAGGGTCCTGAGAGAGTCATAACCCACCACTGGTCTCCATTCTCCCTCACGTCTCAGCTCCAGGTCTCCTGCACAGCGACTCTCTCCTCCCACCAGCCTAACACCAGGCTCTGGAGAGAAACAAGAGAGTCGTGTCCTTCATTGATATCAGCATGTTTTAATAATTAATCATTTATACTATTAATACTTCCGAGTGATAATCAGATCATTAACTCCAGCTCTCTATAAACCAGTGGTGGGAAGTAATAAAGTACATATACTCAAGTACTGTAAGTACAGGTTTGAATGACTTTACTGGAGTATATCGTTGTATAATACTACTACATCACATGTATTCACAAAAGAGTTTGAGGACTTGGCAGGTTCATATTATTAATGAAACAACTATTGAATGATGAAGTTCTGTTATGGATAAAGATACCTGGAAGTATAACAAGTCATTAAAGTTCTCTCCACCTTTACCAGCTGCTACATTAAAAGTGATGTTCACATGAATGGATCATTGATTAGAATCCAGACTATAATATATCATTATGAAAATAGTCAGACTGTATGAGTCATAATAATGATGGTACCTTAAGCATTATTTGATCCTAATACTTTGACCTGAGTACATTTCAATACCTGACTTGTTCTTGTAACAGTATTTCTACACTGTGGTATCACTTCTTTGAATCAAGTATAACATCTGACTACTTTCCCCACATCTATAAACTAATAGGACCTGGAACATGAAACATGTGATTAAGTGGAGCTAAAAAACAGTTCAATCAGAAAGCAGAACGTAGAGATTAGTAGCATGTTTCTGTGTGGCTCTGCCATTTGAACCCTTTGGTGAACATGTGCAATATGGCTCCGTGTAGAATGAACCAATCACAGCTCCTCTCTACCTGAGCAGGTGAGGCTAACAGCTGTGCCAGGTGAGCAGGTGTTTCTCTCTGAGGCTGAGCTACAGTCCAGGAGAGCAGACTCATGGCCTCCACACTGGAACTCTTTGGTCCCCATTGGAGCCTCCCCTTCTCCATAGAGCGCCCCCTGGAGGACTGAAGGAGCCCCACAGCCCAGCTGCCTGCAGACCACCTGAGCATCCTGCTGGTCAAAGTCAGCCTCACACACTGAGGACCAGGACGGGTTAGACGGGTTAGACGGGTCAGAGTTCACCTCCAGTCTGCCTGAACACAGACCAGTCCCCCCCAGCAGCCTGACAGAGTCTGCAGAGGACAGAAGGTCAAACAGAGGTCAAAGACACACCATCAAAGAGATGAAACTATATTTCAGATTCAAACTGGACTCAGTTCCAACATGAGTTGATGATGAACAACAGAACACATGTTGATAAGAACACAGACTGCAGGTACCCTCACATCTACATCTGATACCCTCTAGCAAGTGGTCTCCATTAGTGAACCCTTTCCCTGTGTCTTCAACAACACCTCCTCCTCTGCAGACCCTCTGCTCCTTCTGCTCAGCTCCACCTCTGCTCTCACACACACACTTTCAAAAGGTTTCATTCTTTACTCTCACATGTGTGTTTCACATGTGGTTATCTGACTGATGTTTGTAAAGAACCTTGTTCTTCAACATGGCGTCATCATTGAATTCAAGCTGCCTGTTTGTTTATTGATCTCGTGTTTCCATTAAATGGTGAATTGTATCATTCTAGAGGTGGAGGCTCCAAATAACCCGGTGGGTTTCATGACTCTTCATATCAGCCGTGCTCCAGGCTGCAAGGAGTGAAATGAAATGTAACACTGCTTGTTCATTTCTTTGGGTTCACATTACATTGATTCCATTTTAGAGACACAGAAGCAGAGAGGCAGAATCTGGAGAGAGACGGCCCCTGCTGTGAGGGATCGATGGTCTGGCCTCTAGACGGCCCCTGCTGTGGAGGACGATGGCTCTGGCTCTAGACGGCCCTGCTGTAGGACTGATGGCCTCTGGCCTCTAGACGGCCCCTGCTGTGAGGACGATGGCTCTGGCCTCTAGACGGCCCCTGCCTGTGAGGACGATGGCTCTGGCCTCTAGACGGCCCCTGCTGTGAGACGATGGCTCTGGCCTCTAGACGGCCCCTGCTGTGAGGACGATGGCTCTGGCCTCTAGACGGCCCCTGCTGTGAGACGATGGCTCTGGCCCTAGACGGCCCCTGCTGTGAGGACGATGGCTCTGGCCTCTAGACGGCCCCTGCTGTGAGGACGATGGCTCTGGCCTCTAGACGGCCCCTGCTGTGAGGACGATGGCTCTGGCCTCTAGACGGCCCCTGCTGTGAGGACGATGGCTCTGGCCTCTAGACGGCCCCTGCTGTGAGGAATGGCTCTGGCCTCTAGACGGCCCCTGCTGTGAGGACGATGGCTCTGGCCTCTAGACGGCCCCTGCTGTGAGGACGATGGCTCTGGCCTCTAGACGGCCCCTGCTGTGAGGACGATGGCTCTGGCCTCTAGACGGCCCCTGCTGTGAGGACGATGGCTCTGGCCTCTAGACGGCCCCTGCTGTGAGGACGATGGCTCTGGCCTCTAGACGGCCCCTGCTGTGAGGACGATGGCTCTGACCTCTAGAC